TCAAAAAAAAAAAAATATTGACATAGTTACGTAATCATTACTAGTATCATTTTTGGATACTGAGTCTTTCAGATCCAGTATGTATTTGACGCTCAGCGTATCTCAATCAGGACCAGCCACAGTTCAAGTACTCAGAAGTCACATGTGGCCAGTGGCTGCAATGCTGAACAGTGAAGCTCTTTCTAGAAGTCAGCGCTGGGCATTACATTAGACTCACCTGGGATGGGGGCGTTTAAAAGTTACAGTTGCCGGGATGCGGATCTGGGGTGAGTATTTTAAAAATAAATTTGGCCAGGTGTGGTGGCTCACGCCTGTGAGCCTAATAATTTGGGAGGCCGAGACGAGAGGATCACTTGAGGCCAGGAGTTTGAGACCAGCCTGGGCAACATAGCAAGACCCCATCTCTACAAAAAACAATTTTTTTATTTGTTTGTTTTGTAAATTTTCTATTTTCTTTTTAGTACAGTGGAGTTAGTAATTTTTTTTAAATAATAATACAAAAAAGCAGGTTCCTGGCCCTCTGAGAGGCGTGGGGAGGGATTTTCACAAGACTCCCAGGTGATTCAATTGTCGGTGGCCTCACACTTAAGAAACTTGGTTCCAAGGGTTGACTGTTGATTCATACGTTAGTTGCAAAATAAGCTAAGCCCAAGCTGAACAAGCCCCAGGTCATGTCTAAGACGGAAAATCAGGGAGACCTCCAAGAAGGTGCGGGGGCGGCGGGGCTCACCTTGGCGGCCAGGACGTGCCACGTCTCCTCGTGCATCCGCACCACCCGGTAGTACAGGGCGTCCCCGCTCTCCACACAGGGTGAGCTGCTCAGGAGGCGGAAGCTGTCACCAGGGCAGCAGGGGCCAGGGTGGCCCCCCATGAGCCGGGCCCGGAGCAGGGCGCGGATGACACGGAGGCCCTCCAGCTGCCGGGCGGCCAGCGCAGCGTGCACGGCCTCCGGGCTGCGCAGGTCTCGGAGCAAGAGGCTGAATGTGGCGTCGGGCATGCTGAAGGTCAGCTCTGCAGGGGGACAGGCTGGCCCGGCCTCGGCCTGGGTCTCGTCCACACTGTGGGACCCTAGAAGGAGCTGCCGAGGCTGCTGTGCCCTGGCAGAGCCGGGGGTGGGGGCCCCGTGGGTGGGCAGAGACTGCGTCCGGATTAAAGTCTTCTTGGGCAGGGGTGGGGGCAGGGGCTGGGGGTCCCGGGAGGGGGACCCAGGGGTCCGGGGGCGGCAGGCTTTGGAGGGCAGCAGGTGGGCACGGACCTCACCTGTGGGATGAGAGAGTGGGGGGGTTGAGGACAAGGTGGAATGTGGGACCCCCAGACATGTGACTCTGCCCCTCAGCCTCAATTTCCCCATCTCTGAAATGGAAATAATACCCAACCACCCTGTACCCTCTCTGATGCCGACCCCACGGTACAGAAGGGAGAACAGAGGCTCAGAGGAGGGACGGGACAGTGGCAGAGAATCATGCCACCCAGCCCCGGGTGACCCCATTTCCCTGTGTGGCTCTGGGCAGGTGACTTGCTTTCACAAGCCACTGTTCCCAGTGTCCCCCCAGCCCGGTCCTGCAAGGTGCTGCTCACCGAGGTTGCTGTACATGGGCTGAGCGGGCCAGGTGGGGCCGTCGGGCTCGAGGGTCTCGGGGGCTGGCTCGGGGCTGGTCATGTCACTGGAGAAAGGTCAGAGGTGGGGGCCCGTGCAGGGTGGGCTCGGGCTCAGGGTCTGCCTGTGCTCAATGGGCAGTGTCGCCAGGGATGGGGGACGCTCTAGGGCCCTCGGGGAGAGCAGGGGCACCCCGACTCCAGCTCCCCTGCCTAGCAGCGACCCTGCCGTGTGACCCTGAGTGGGGGTCTCTCCCTCTCTGGGTCACTTCCTCGTTCATGAGACAGGTGTGCTACCCATCAGTCTTCACCGTGGGCAGGGCCCCCACTGTGCGTGTGGGACGGGGACAGAATGTGCAGCCCACATGACAGGCCATCGGGGGCACGGCTGGCATGGGCAACAAGACACAGGGACCCCAGGACCCACCCTCAGGCCGTCCCCAAGAGCTCAGCCAGCGCCCGGCCCTCCCCTGCCACACCCCCAACCTCAGAAAGTGGCCGCTTCTGTCCAGCCACCCCCCCAGAGCCCCTACCTTCAGACCGGAGTGACTTCGGGGGAGGAGGGGTCCCTGGGGACAAACTCCTGATGGCTGCAGCGCCTGGCCTCCCAGGAGGGGTCTGGCCGGGAAGCAGACAGGAAGCGTCCATCCGGGCGACTGTTAGACCGCAGCCAGGCGGGGTGGGGGCGGGGGCCCCTGCGGGACCTCCGCAGCCAGGCGGGGTGGAGGTGACATCCCAAAGGAAACAGTTTGGGGGCTGGGGGCGGGATTGGGGGGTGGGAGACAGGCTGCTCTCCTGCAGGCCAAGCTGGGGTGCAGGGCAATGGGGGACTCCTGGGAATGGGAGGTGGGACATGTCCTCCTCCCCCACCCTAGGTGAGGGCAGACAACCCCAGCCGTGGCAGTTCAGGAAGAAACGCAACCAGGCGCTGCTTCCCCTGTGGCTTTCGCTTCCCTGAGAACTTCGTCCCCTCCTGCGGGACCATTGAGGAGCCCCCAGCGCACCCCCTGCCCTGTCCCAGAGCGCTGGCAGCGTGGGTGGGGACCCTCTAGCTCTGTTTCCCCGTGCTGTGTGACGGTGGGCAAGTCTCCACCCCTCTCTGTGCTCCAGCGAGTCAAGGAAAGCGTCTCCCACATCCTGCCTCAAAACAGCTGCACTTGCTGGATTCTTCTTTAAAAAATTATCTCGCTTCCTACCTCCCCCTCCTCCCCTGCCTTAATGCATTTTTTTTTTTATAGAAAAGACATTTTATATATAATTTCCATAAATGGAAAATCAGGAATGGTTAAAACCTAAGGAGGCATCCTCTGGACCCCCCGGCCCACCTGTAGAGTGGGTTCATAATGGGACCCAGCTCCCGGAATGGTTGGTCATCGGTGTGAAAGGACAGCGTCTGGAACAGCACTGGGAACAGCATGGGCGCTCCCGAGGTGTGACCTCCAAACATCGTCACTGCGTGCCATTCTTTCAGGGTCAGCTCCCCCACGCCGGGGACCCCAGCAGCCCCCTTATCCCTCAGCCCTGCCTCCTGCCCTCTACCCCTCCCATGGGAATAAAAAAAAGAAAGCAGAAGTTTGTTATTAAATCGGTTTCATTTTTTATTGGATTTTAACCAAATACAGCAGGGTGGGGGTGGAGGGCTGGAGGGTGTTGGTTCAGGTTGGGACGGTGGGGAGGGCGGGGGGCCGTGAATCCCACTATACTGACGCTCTGTAAACTCGAATGCTGCGGAGAACGCGCCGCCTCCCGTCTTTGATGATCTAAAGGCACTTGGATGGCGTTTTGAGGGGCCCTTGGGGTTGTCATGGCAACCAGGGTCAGGTGGATGCTAGGGGGAAAAAAATAGTTCTGCCCAACTCGGGGGTGGAGTTTGGGGGTTGCAGGGTCTTCACTCCTCACTCATGTCCAGTCCAGGGGCCTCCCGACGCCCCTACCCACAGCCTGGGGAGAACAGGCTCCACCTGAGTCCTTTGCTCAACGCCCCCAGGGTTGTGGAGCTTTCTCTCCGGCTGCCATTGCAGCAGTCTAGGGGGATCCGGGATCCAAGTCAAGCCATCGAGCCCATCTGTGGGCCTGGCCTCTGAGTACAGGGCGACGGGTTTGACCCTCAGATCCACTTCATAGACAAGGATACTGATGGTCTGAGTGGTTCTCAGTTGGCAGCTGAGACCGCAAAGCTGAGTGGGAGCAGAGTTGGCTTTGAGCCTTCCTGCAGAGTCCTTCAAGACATTGTCCTAACCTCCCAGTCAGCGGCCAAGCTTCTTTCTGGCCAAGGTCAGACCCCATGAAGTTTGCTGGGCCCCTTCTCCCAACATTGTCCTAACTGGCTGGCCAAGGTGGAGGGTGCAGGGGCAGGAACTTGGGGGTGGGGAGGCCGGGTCATGGGTAGTCCCCATCTGCTGTCTGAATCCTGCAAAACCTCAGCTCCTGTTTGCTTAGCCCTAGTGATGGGGAACTCACCACCTGTAGAGCAATGGAGCAGTGACCTTGGGGAAGCTCTTCCTTAACTGGAACTGCAATCTGCCTGTGACCCCCACTCTGGTCCTAGATCTGCCTCACCCTGAACGTTGCAGAGACCAAGGACCCAGGTCCAGGCCTCCCTGTAGTGTGAAGTCCTTGCTCTGTCCTTGTCCCCATCACTGCCCCTGCGGTGCACATAGCAGGGAACCGAGAACCACCCATGCTCTCTGGTCTCATTCTGCACCTGAGCCATGGGCCAGTGGGGGCAGGGCACGGGGGGGGGCCACACTCGGGGCTTGTCCGAGGCTGGCTCAGGGGTCAGTGTGTACTCAGGGCTGAGGGTCGGTCCAGCTGGCCTGTTTGAGGGACACCGACACCCCAGAAGCCATGCTCCTGGGCTAGGGGCCAGGGCACCTGCCTGTCCCATGCGGGGTGGGCATCCTCTTGCTGGCTGCCCCAGGGAAGCAGGTGGCAGCAACGAGGGTGGTGGGGGAAGCTGGGAAATGGCTTCTCCTAGTGGCGGCTCTGCTGGGCAGGGGGTCCTGGTGGGAGGATGGAGAGCAGGGTGTGGGGACCCCTGACAAGGACCACCCGGAGAGTGCTGGGCCCCTCAGGGTGGGGCTGACCTGCTGCACAAGACCTTAACCTGGTCCCCAAGGTCTGCTGGGAAACACCTGGCTCAGCAGGACCTGGGAGTGAGCTGGGCCTGTCCCGGGTGTAAGCTGAGTGTGTCCCTGGTGTGAGCTGTGACTGTCCTGGGTGTGAACTGAATGTGTCTCAGCTGTGAGCTGTGCCTATCCCAGGTGTGAGCTGTGTGTGTCCTTGGTGTGATTTGTGACTGTTCCAGGTGTGAACTGTGTCTCAGGTATGACCTATGCCTGTCCCAAGTGTGAGCTGAGTAGGTCCTGGGTATGAGCTGTGCCTGTCCCAAGCATAAGTGTGTGCCAGGTGTGAGCTGAGTGTGTCACAGGTGAGAGCTGAGTTCACCCCTGGTGTGAACTGAGTGCGGCCCTGGTGTGAGTTGTGCATATCCTGAGTGTGAGTTTAGCATGGCCCAGGTGTGAACTGAGCATGTCTCTGGCATGAGATGAGAGTGTCCCAGGTGTGAGTTGTGCATGTCCCGGGTATGAGCTGGGCATGTCCAGATGTGAGCTCTCACGAGAGCCCTTCTTGCCCCTGCGGTCGGCTCTGGAGCCGGGGCCTGGTTTTGGTGTCGGCTGGGTGTGAGGTGTGCGCATTTGACCTCTGAGCTTTGTGTCTGATTGTGTCCCAGATGCGAGTGAGGTCTGGGTGTGCCACCCACGTGTGAACGGTGCAGACTTTCTGTGCAGCCTCCCCTCAGGGCTGCGGGCCCTTGGTGGGTCCTGGGTGTAGACCAGCCCTCCAGCTGTGAGCTGTGCGAAGCGGCGGGAGCAGATTCCTGGGGCAGCGGCGGTGTGTGTCCCGGGTGTGGCTGTGGGCCCTGAGGACCCCGGGGTCTTTGAGCTCCCGCGGCCCCCACCATCCGTTCACACCCCCTCCACCCTCGCCAGCTCAGCGACCACAGCAGGGGCAGGAAGACAGGTTGAAACCTTTAGAAAACGTCTGAGAAACTGCAAAAGATGCATCCACATGAAAAACAGTCCTGTGGTTGGTTGGGTGTCTACAAAAAAAAAAAACGGAAGTTCTGCCAGAAGCTGCCTTGCAGCCGCCCCTCCCCGTTGGGAAAATGCATAGGTAGAATCGGCCCAGCCCTGCCGGCTGGGACAGGAGCCAGTCGGGGTGCGGAGGGGCGGCCCCTGGGGACCCCTCAGATCATCTTCATGTTGAACTTGCGGGCGCCGCCCTGGCCCGCGGCGGCAGCCGGGCCGTCCACCTTGCGGAAGGAGTACTCCACGGAGAAGTTGTTCTTGTGCTGCCCGCGGCCGCGGCTCCACACGAACAGCAGCAGGAAGCAGAAGAGGACCACGCCGAGGAAGGTGATGCAGCCCATGGCCGTGGACACCAGGATGGTGGTGAGGTCCAGCGGCGCGCGCGCAGCCGCCTGCGTCTCGTTGCGCCCCTCGGCCAGGGTCCGGTTGGCGGCCGGCTCGGGCTGCACGGTCAGCGTGGCGAAGTAGGTGTCGTTGCCGCCCGCGTTGCTGGCCACGCAGGTGTAGGTGCCGCTGTCCTGCGGCCGCGTGTCCCGGATCTCCAGGGTGCCCCCGGGCAGCACGCGCGCCCGGCCCGCGCTGGCGGCCGTCACCGCGCGGTGCTGGGGAGTCACCCAAGCCACCGTGGGCGCCGGCTCGCCCTCGGCGCGGCAGAGGAAGCGCACGTCGTCGCCCGTGGTGGCCGTGATGTGCTGCAGCCGCCGCTCGCGGATCTTGGGCTTGCGGCACACGAAGTACTCGAACAGCACCGAGTCGGGCAGGTCGCGCAGCGCGTCGCCGCGCACCTCGGCCGGGGTGGCGCAGGCCGGCAGCCGCCCGTCGAAGTTGAGGGTCTTGCGGCGCTGCACGATCCACAGCAGACGACAGTCGCAGGCCAGCGGGTTGCCGTCCACGCGCAGCGTCTCCAGCGTGTTCACCGAGTGGAACGTGCTCTCCTCCAGCGTGGACAGCAGGTTGTTGGAGAGGTTGAGCAGGCGGATCTGCCGCAGCCCCAGGAAGGCCTGCGGCTCCACCACGGCCAGCAGGGCCCCTGCCAGGTGCAGCTCGCGAAGGCGGACCAGGTCCCGGAAGGACGCGCGAGGCACCGTGCTGATGGGGTTGTGCGAGAGGTTGAGGCAGGTCAGGTGCGCCTGGTGGCGCAGCGCGGCGGCCGGCACGGCGGTGATGTTGGTGTGGGTGACCGACAGCGACGTGAGGTTGAGGCCCTGCAGGCTGCCCGCGGCCACCTCCTCCAGCAGTGGCCAGTTGTCGATCTCCAGGTGCAGCAGCCCGGGAAGCTTCTGGAAGTTCTGGTCCTCCAGGGCGGCGATGGCCAGGTGCCGCAGCCGCAGGGCGCCCAGGCCCCGCAGGTGGCCCAGCGACTCTCCGGACAGTGCCGTGAGGTTGCAGCGCTCCAGGGTGAGCTCCTCCAGCGCCAGCAGCCCCGCGAAGGCCCGGCGCGAGATGAACACCAGGTCGTTGTCGCCCACCTCGAGCCTGCGGAGGCTGCGCAGGTCCTGGAAGGTGTAGTCCAGCAGGATGACCAGCTTGTTCTCGCTCAGGTCCAGCAGCGTGAGGTTGTCCAGGCGCGTGAAGACCCCGGGCGGGATGAGCTTCAGCTGGTTGCCGCGGAGGCGCAGGACGCGCAGGTGCGGCAGGTCGGCGAAGGCGCCGGGCTCCACGTGCGCGATCACGTTCTCGCTCAGGTCCAGCTCCTCCAGCGCCGGCAGCGCCGCCAGGTCGCCGGGGTTCAGGCAGCGGATGCGGTTGCGGCTGAGCTCCAGCACGCGCGTCTCGGCGGGGATGCCGTCGGGCACGGCGGTGAGCCGGCGGCGCGCACAGGCCACGGCGCGCGTCGGGGCGGTGCACTCGCAGCGGGCCGGGCAGCCCCCGGCCGGGGGCGGCGCCGCGCGCAGCAGCAGCAGGTGCAGGCTCAGGACGCACAGCCAGCAGCTCATGGTGCGGGGCCTGGGCCTAGGGCCGCGCCACCATCCTTCTGCGCACCTGAGGGCGGGCGGGGCAGCGTTAGCGCCGGCGCCTGGGTCCCTGAACCGCCCCCGGCGCACCCGGCCTGGCAGGTGCGTCTTCAGCGCCCCCCGCAGTCCCAGGTCTGGGGATCTGCATGCGCGACCGCTGAGCACAGACGGCCACGGAAACCTGTGCCAGGATGTTCCCAGCGGCAGCCTTTGTAACAGGCAAACAGCAGAAGCAGCTCAAAGGTCCACGAGTGGATGATGGACACACACAGCGTGGTCCATCCACGCACTGGAACATCACTCAGCCACGGAAAGGGACGAGGCTCTGACACAGGCCACAGTGTGGATGGGCCTTGAGGACGTCGTGCTCAGTGAGAGACGCCAGACACAGAAGGACACACAGTGCGAGACTCCATTTATATGAAACGTCCAGAACAGCCAGAGCCACAGAGACGGGACGTGGATTTGTGGTCACCAGAGGCTCGGGGAGGTGGACAGGGTTTCTTTAGGGTTGATGGAGTGTTCTGGAATTACACAGTGGTGATGGTTACATCCCCTTGTAAATATACTAAAAACTACTGAATTGTACATTTTAAAAGGGTGATTTTGGGTTACGATGAACACTATTCCAGTGATGGACACACCAGAAACCCTGGCCTAAGCATCATACAAGATATCCACATAACAAAAGCACTTGTACGCCCGTAATTAATATTTTGGAATAAAAAATAAAAGGGTGATTTTTACTTTATGTGAATTTTATCTCAATAAGAACATTGCAAAAGAAAGGATTGGTTGGACCGGAGAGGAATCATACACATAACGTAAAAAGTTTTGTTTAAAAATCATTCATTCTGGCCGGTCGCGGTGGCTCACGCCTGTAATCCTAGCTCTCTGGGAGGCTGAGGTGGGTGGATCGTTTGAGTTCAGGAGTTCGAGACCAGCCTGAGCAAGAGCGAGACCCTATCTTTACAAAAAATAGAAACAAATTAGCTGGACAACTAAAAATATACATAGAAAAAATTAGCCGG